AGTACGATAGGCCATTTGCAATTTCATAGATGTTGGCCTTGGTTGCCCAATTCCTAATGTCTTGAAAACCGAATAGGGCATCAAATTTATTCTTTCCCCAAGATCACAAAGAGATTTTTCAAACTCGGCACTTCCAATTGTACAAGGAATCGTGAAAGCACTGGGATCTTCCAACTTGGGAGCCATTGAATGCACAATTGCACTTACTTGATGAGTGACTTTGATAATTTCAAAATTCATCGATCACTTCTTTGTCACAAGATCCTTTATGAACTTTGCATAACCGGGCATTTTTTCCAAGGCTTCAACTAATGGCACATTAACTGAGAGGCTCTTTATCATTTGGATAAACTTCTTGAATTGATTTTCACCATTTTGCTTTGCAAGTCTTTGAGGGTATGAAGGTGAAGGCTTAGGCAATGGTGCCTTATCCTTTTGCACTACCGGTTCCGGCATGTCAATAATGTGATCTCTGGACGAGTTCACCTTCTCTTGAGTCTCTTCCACATTATCATCAATATCAATCCGAACCTCATCATTAGGTTGCTCAACATTGTTCGGGATCTCCTCTTCTTGCACTACTTGATTTTTATCCACAAGTTGTCTTTGGCTTGAGGTGGGTGTGTTCCCACCCTTTGGGTTCACCACCATGTCACTTGGTAGTGCTCCCTTAGGACGAGTATTTAGAGCTTGAGAGATTTGCCCCATTTGAACTTTCAAGTTACAGATTGATGTATTGTGTGAGGCAAGTTGGGCATCAAAATCGTCATTCTTCTTCATCATTTGCTTGAATATATTCTCAATATGCCTCATTTCATTGTTGGAAGAACTAGGACCATAGGAAGGATAAGGAGGCCAGTTGCTCAGTTGGTTATACATCGGGGGACTTTGAAAACCCAACCCCTGATTTCCTTGATTATTGTTCCATCCCTTGATTGTTACCTCCCCAATTTCCTTGATTGTTGCCAATCCAATCACCTTGATTATTTCCACCACTCTGATTTTCTTGATTGTTGTTGTTATGCCAATTCCCTTTTATTGTTACCACCACTCTAATTACCTTGGTTGTTAGAGTTTCAATTACCTTGATTGCTTTGAGGTCCTCATTGTTGTTGAATCGAGCCTTGAGAGTTGTTTCTTTACCCTTGGTAGTTGTTCACAACACCTCATCCTCTTGTTCATCGTAAGATTCATCTTAATCAAACCCATTATCTTCTTGTACATAATTCTCTACTCGGTTTCGCACTTGTGGACCCTTTGACCTTCTTTTGTTCACTATCATGCTTACTCCCTCCATGGAATTGACTTTCTTAGGACTTTGCACTTGTTGAAGTTGATCCTTTTCTAATTGATTCAAAGTGGGGTCAATTCGGCAATGGCTTGCCAATGGTCATGCAACGCTTTATGGAGGTGAATCACGTTCGGATCACCTTGTGGAACATTAGCACTGGATTGCCATTCCGATGATGTATCCGCTATTTCATCCAAAATCTCACAAGCTTCCGCACACGGTGTTGTCATGAAATTTCCATTTGCAAGTTGATTCACCATGCATTGGTTGGTCGTATTAATCCCACGATAGAAAGTTTGTTGAATCATATTCTCTATCATATCGTTATTGGGACACTCTTTGACTATTGTTGTATACCACTCTTATATCTCATGCAGCGGCTCATTGGGCTCTTGCTTGAATGCTAGAATCTCATCTCTAAGAGTAGCCATATGCTCGGGAGAGAAGAACTTGGCAATACATTTCTCCCATAGAATGGAATGGTTTGGCAATCTTTCCAACCAATCTAAGGCTTTCCCTTATAGAGAGAAGAGAAAAAGCATTAGCCTTAACGCGTCCTTGGAGAAGTTTGTTTGTTTACTCCCCCAACAAGTGTCCACAAACCCCTTCAAGTGTTTGTATGCATTTTGACTTGGAGCCCCGGTGAAGAATCCTCGTTTCTATAGAAAAGTGAGCATTACATTAGTGATTTGAAAGTTGCCCACCCTAATATGGAGAGGGACTATGGCACTTGCATACCCTTCATTCGGTAACACCCGGTGTGGAGCCGCTCTTGGTGGAGCTGGGGGTGGAACTGGGACATTGTCATGAGGCGCCCGACCTCTTATATTGGCTTGAGGTTCAAGAGGAACCTCTTCAACTTGGTCATCCTCAACGTCCACATCCCGCAAAGTCATGTTTCCGAGTTCACTATTGTTCGCCACCATAATTGCACCTACAGTCGATTCACACAAATTAGTAATACAGAAGGAAAAAGATAATCCACACCCAAACCCAAATACATAGCTAACACCATCTCAGGAAGCTCTAGACTTGGCCTTTTTGTTATCTCTCTGATCTTTGATCCTAGCCTAGCTTTTGCAGCCGCACAATCCATGTGTGATCCGCAATTTACTCCCAAATCTGCTGAATTTTCCTTCCTTGATTGCGGTCGCAGATGGAATTCTGTGGTCCGCTTTTTGTAAGCTTCTATGCCTTTTATTGCCTTGGTTTATATTATTCCTTTTTTAGTCGGATTTCATCTCTGAAGCTCAATTTCCATCATTCCTGCAATTTTACATAATTTGATCAGTTTCGGGGACACAATTCAATGCATTTAGACTAAAACAAAAGCAAAAAGGCGCTAATAAGCAGTCAAAATCCACACTTATCAAATTTGCGCTTAAAATTAATTATGTGATATGTTAAAGTGCTTAGGAGGGTGAGCCACTATTCCAAAAATATATCCTACCCGTCCCTTAACTCACTTTACAACTATAAAAAAGTCCTACTTGATTTTTGACCGATCAAGCCTACATTAGTGGAAGTTTACATAATGGGCAAGCCTATAGTACTTAAAATGTGATTCTTTAAAATATATTTGAGCATTTGATTCGAATGTGTGGATTCAACTTACTCTTGTATTCTTGTTGTGAGGGCACATAATTTTGTGATGGATATGTGATATTATTAGATTTCTCTATGATGTTAAGTGTTTAATCCATGAGTGCATTGTGATATTGAGTCAATTCTTGAGGCTAAGATTGTTATGAGCATGTTGTCTTTATGCTAAATAAATGGTTTTCGAAGTATGGCATATGTTAAAGGAAAGTGTGTATTGAAGGCATTTGCTAAAGTTTAATTGTTGCTATCAACTATAGTCATAGGTGTGGTGTGCTTCAGATATATTAAAAATAAAGTGCTCAAGCTTGGTGTGAATTGCTAGTTGACTCAAGGACGAGCAACGTTTAAGTGTGTGATAGTGATGTTTGGCCATAATAATATATTTTTAGTACATTACTCGCCATCAATTTTGTTATTTTAGTGATTAATTATGTGACATTTGAGCTGATTATGTTGTCTTATGTGTAGGACCATCAGAAGACAAAGACGAGTGAAAATTGCACTCAAAGATGATAAAAATACAAGAGAATAGTATGAGAGCATGGAGAACTCATGCCTGACGCCAGACCAGGCATCGCCAGCTCCAAGGCCTGCTCCAGCTGCGTTACAAGCTTGGCCCTGCGAGTTTAGGCGCCTGATGCCCCTATGTGCGTGGTTTAAAAATACTCCGACCCGGATTTGGACGTACATACCTCGACCCTAACATATAAATACTCCATACACGAGTTGAGGAAAGGTTGGACATTATTTGAAAAAGAAAAAAGGTTACAGAACACTTTGGAGCAAGGAATCAAAAGAGTTTTTCCCTCCATTCTTCTTTAATCTGTAGTTTAATTCTTTTAAATATTATTAAGATTGTTTATATAATTATGAGTAGATAAGATTTCTCATCTAGGATTTGATGGAACCTATTGGAGGATGATTTTTCACTATGTTTAATATTACTTTGCCATTAATTTTTTTCTACTTGTTCAATTACGTGTTCATTGTTATTGATTGAAGAACTCTCAATTAACTATGTCTAGTTAGTGTGTATTGCTTGAAAAAGGGTACATATTTAGGTAGTTGTTGAACAACATCACTCCTAACGTATATGTGGAATCAATACAAAGGGTTTAAAGGTCGGATTTGGAATAACGAAGACTTGGTGCGATCGAGCGAGTGGTGAATTAGTGTCAACTAGCGTAGTTCGGAAGAATAAGTCTAGTAAATTGTGGTAGTTGCACGGAAGAGAATTACGACACCCAAAGCACTCACGATCGGTAGAGAATACGTAGGCGAATTTATAGGAAACATAGTAGGGAGGATTGCGACGATTGAAAAAATCATAACCCTAGACTTTTCCAATATTGTCTACAAGATTTACTCTGTTAGTTATAAATTTACATCATTTTAATTACTTTTCTCATAGTTAGTAATCACTCAAATCATTATTTAAAATTTTTGAAAGTTGATTACTTGAATTCTTGCAAAATTAGTTGTCGTAATTAGTAGATTAATTCCCTGTGTGATTCGATTCCGGACTAATCAACTGAATTATATTTGTAATAATCGCTTAGTCCTTTTTACAAAGCATAGTCGGGCGTGATCAACCTATTTGAGCCATATCGGATAATAGAATGAGGTCTTCCTATCTATCCTATGGCCTTCTCTCGAAATGACGCATCAATAGGACAACTACCACTTAGCCTTAATCCTCCATACAATTGTATGATTAATTGTCCACGAAAGAAGATAAAATGTGTGGCTTTTATAAGGACTAGACAGGGGAACTAACTGGAAATAAGAAAATCTAATTGACCCTCAAAATTACGGGCTTCATTAGGTTAAGCTTACAGCTCACTAGACTCCCTAAGCACATAACATACACGACTCACTAACCATATATCACACTTACAATTAGGTTCGCATTTATGGACTACTATCAAACACGAAATATATAGTTAAAACATAAATAAAATATTTAAGACAATGCAAAATATTTCTCTAAATTCTCCCACTTCGACTACATTAGTGTAAAATAAAATTTAAAACACAACAACTGTAGATTTTATTTAACAATAATAAGAAAAAACTACGGTCGATGAAGGAAAAAAATATGTGGCCATAGTTTGGAGAAAATCAGCACAGAAACATCAATTGACTTTCAACTCAATCTTAAACACTGGACTATATCTAATATGTTATTCTTAGCACATGATCTTCAATAATCATAATATTCTCATTTAAGCCACAAAATCATGGTCTAGCAGTGTAGTAAGAAGTACTGCCATTGTGTACTTGACAAAGATGTATATCATACGGACTTTATTGCCTTATCGGTCCTTGATGCTGCTGAAAATATATATAGTGATTTAGATATACATTCTTAGTCTAATTGCTTGATTCTTTTGTAAATTTTTACACTATTTGATATGGTTTGTCGTTACTTTGTGTTTTCAGATGGAAAAAGCAACCAAAACTGAGCTTAAAAGGCAATAAGTGCAGCTGGTGCAAATATGCTAAGTTGTGCGAACGGTATGTATAGGTTTGCAGAATTTGTTCAGCTTTGTATTGTCATGATTTTCTTACTATATTTGGTTTTTATATCTCTGGAAGGAAATGACAACATATTTACCAGGTTTTCCTTTTTGTAGAAGGAAATTATAATTCTCATATATTTGGCAAGTCCTTTTTCTTGTAGGAAAAAGTTTGGACTTCTAGAGAATCTTTCCTCTTATTGAGGAGCCTTTGCCTCTTTGTGAGGTTGTTCTCTCGATATTTTATACTCTCCTTTTATATAGTGGATTGCTCATCTCTGTCGTGGACGTAGGTCAATTGACCGAACCACGTTAAATGTTTGTGTCTCTTTTGGTATATTTCTCTTTTGCTGTCCTATATATTTATAGTCGTTGAAGGTTTGCTTTGCTAGCTTACTCATAACACCTGATTTTGTGGTCCCAACAAGTATGTATCAGATTTATGCAGTGTGCATGCCGTAAGAAAGTTCTGAAGTTGTACTCTATCTTATAATCTACTACTTTCTTGATGTTCTCAGTTGTAGAATCTAGAATTTAAGTCATATAGTCAATAGAGGAATTATTTTTAGCGGATCTCCAGAATGAGCATTATAATCTTAACAGGAATGTTTTTGCATAGGCTTTTCATTATCACAACTTTGTTCAATTACAATAAGTAAAAATATGGAGGGATTGGATCAAAATCTTTCAGCAAATCCTCCTTTTTTCCTGAACAGAATCAAGGATTTAACAAAAGACTAAAGACTCATTTGAAAAAAGATCATATTGAGTAACACTTTTCCAACAAAGAAGATAAATAAAGGGAAAAAAATGGAAAAGTCGCGACCAAATTAAGAAGTGCATCTTCTTCTGATGGGGGCATTGCAAAATCATGCACGCTCTATAGTCTCAAAGACAGCTGAGGGAAAGGGCAGAAATGTCTCAAGCATACTGCCCCTTGTGCCTCCATTAATTCTGTCGAAGAACAAAAGTCGATTTTAGCAAGTGTATATTGATGATGACTTTAACTTTAGATCAAGTCAAAGACTCCCTTGAGGCGGATCTTCTGTTTTTTGAGGAGGTTCTGCTGCTTTCGGCTCATCAGCTTTCGAATTCTCTTCAGCTACAAAAACAGCAATGTTCATCTAGTTTTCAGAATCATTCACTTACTTTATTAGTTATATATTTCCAGGTTTAGGTAAGGAGAAGTAGAATCCAAAGGAGTTCTTTTTGGTTCCTTTGACACAAAGAGAAGTCAGTTTTAGCAATTCAAAGGTGTCAAGTTCATAAAAACATTAAAATATTACGAAATGTATCATTTGAGTCTCCTGATCAACTAGAGCTACAATGTATGAGATAATTTGAAAGAAGATGAATGGATGAAACCCAGTTAGAAGAAGAGGATAGAATAGCAGAAAGAAGAAAGAAGAAAGAAGAAGAGAGAAAGAAAAGAGCGTATGTCTATTATTTTCATTACTTCTTTTTATCACCTCTTTACATATGTATATATAAAGTATTTAACACTAACTGATTTAGCTTAGTGTATAAATAAATGATTAATGTACCCTTAGGAGAGTATCACTTAATTGTCTCAACACTCCCCCTCAAGCTAGGTAGTGAAAAAAAACGTTAAGAACTCCTAGCTTGGAGCAAAGATACTCATGTTGAACTTTACTGAGGCTTTTGGTTAAGATGTCAGCTGGCTGATCCCTTGTGGAAATGTACTTTGTTGTAACCACTCCTTGGACTATTTTTTCCCTTATAAAGTGACAATCAATTTCAATGTGTTTAGTCCTTTCATGATAAACAGGATTTACTGCTATTTGCATAGCAGCTTTACTGTCACTGAAAATGTCAACTGGTGTCTTTACGTCAATACCAATTGCCTTAAGTAGACCCAATAACCAAATCAGTTCTGCAACTGTAGCAGCAACACTTCTGTACTCGGCTTCTGCCGAGCTTCTTGAGACAGTTGTCTGTTTCTTTTACTTCCAACAAATTAGAGATTCTCCAAGTTTAACTAAGTAGCCTGTTATAGACTTTCTAGATTGTGGACATGAAGCTCAATCTGCATCGCAATATGCAGAAATAGTATTGTTGTATTTGCTGGACAGAAGAATTCCTTGCCCAGGCTGATTTTTCATATATTTCACAATTCTGAGTGCTGCTTCCATGTGAGATTTTTTAGGCTGTTGTAAGCATTGACTTAAGTTCCGTACACTGTATGATACATCTGGTCTTGTCATAGTTAAGTACAGAAGTTTCCCAATTAATCTTTGATAAATGCTTGGATCAGGAAGTAAACCATCTTCTGACTTACCTGTTTCTTCAACATAGTCATCATACTCTTTTGTAGGTAACTTGATATTGCTGTCCATAGGTGTTATAGCTGGCCTTGCAGCACTTAAGCCAGTTTCAGAAATGAGTTCTAGTGTGTACTTCCTTTGATGCATTAAGATCCCTTGTTTGGATCTTGCAAATTCAATACCTAGGAAGTATTTTAGCTCACCTAAATCCTTCATCTTAAAAGTTTGTTGTAGAGTAGCTTTTGTGTCTTCAATTAGCTTTAGACCATCACCTGTAATCAACATGCCATCAACATATACAAGAACTATTATTGTGCCTTCACTTGTCTTCTTAATAAAGAGAGAATGATCACATTGGCTCTGTTGAAATTGAAAACTTAGTAAAGCTTCTGTTAGTTTGGCATTCCATTGCCTTGGGGCTTGTTTTAGCCCATACAAGTATTTTATGAGTCTGCACACTGGATTTTTCTCCCCCTAACTCTTGAATCCTTGTGGTAATTGCATATATATTTCATCATGTAAATCCCCTTGAAGAAAAGCATTGTATACATCCATTTGATGTATATGCCATTGTTTACCAGCTGCAATAGACAAGACAGTTCTGATAGTTTTCATTTTCACAACTGGTGAGAATGTTTCTTGATAGTCAATGCCTTCTTTTTGACTATACCCTTTTGCCACTACTCTCGCCTTAAATCTTTCAATTTCTCCTGAAGCCTTGTATTTGATTTTATAAATCCACTTACATCCTATAGGACTTTTGCCCTCAAGTAATGAGACTATGTCCCATATATGATTAGTTTCTAAGGCTTCAATTTCTGCCTTCATTGCATCGACCCACCTGGGTTCTTTAACAGCTTCACAGTAGTTTGAAGGTTCAGTTGTAGATGAGGAGACTGCTATATATGCTTGATAAGAGGGAGAGATATTATTGTAAGTGATATACTTAGACATAGCATAAGGAACCTCATGATGAATGTTTAGAGACACAAAGTCATTCATCCAAATAGGTGGCCTTTTTTCTCTACCAGACCTCCTAATTCCACCTTCTATCAGTTGGTTTTGATTCACTAAAGATTCGGTTATTTCAGCAACTTCAGCTTGATGTTGATTTTCTAGAGGTTCATGAAGGTGCTGAGCATTGATAAGAGGTTGAGACTCATCTGGTTCTATTTGAACCTCATTGATTTGATCCATATCAGTACACTGTACTTCTAGAGGTTCAACTACTTCAGATTGAGTATTTAATGTCTGAGTAGTAGAGGTTCTAATTCCAGATAGTTGACCTTCAGGAGTACTATATGAATCATATGACATTGAGTCAGGAACAGACTTTTGAAATATAGGTGGGGTGACTTTTTGTTTAACTTTGAAGGGAAATACATCTTCTCTAAAAATCACATCTCTATTGACAAAGAAGCTTCTGTCAGTGGGATCATAAAGTAGATATCCTTTCTGTATTTCTGCATATCCCATGTGAATTGCTTGTCTAGTTCTTGTCATTAATTTGTCATATTATTGAACTATTTTTGCATAACATAGACATCCTAGAACTTTCATGTGATTATAGGATGGTCTTCTTCTGTACAACCTCTCATAGGGCGATTGATTGTTGATCACTATGCTAGGTATCCTATTTATAAGATATACTGCAGCTAACACACAGTGACCCCAAAATTTGATTGGAATCTCTGTCTGAAACCTAATAGCTCTAGTAACTTCTAATATGTGTCTATGCTTTCTTTCAGCAACTCCATTTTGCTGAGAAGTATAGACACATGTCTTTTGATGAATTATGCCTAGTTGTTGAAACAAACTACTGCAAACAGAGTTGACAAATTCTGTTCCATTATTTGTCCTGATCACTCTAATGACCTTATCAAATTGAGTCTTAACAAAAGTGATAAACTGCTTAATTATCACACATACATCAGACTTCAGTTTAAGTAAGAACACCCAACACATTCTAGAATAGTCATCAACTACAGTCAAAAAAATATTTGTTGCCATCATATGTTGCTATTTTGTAGGGACCCCATAAGTCCATATGTACTAAGTCAAAGCAAGCAACAGATTTAATATTACTAGCAGGAAAAGGCAATCTTGTTTGTTTTGCACATGGACATATTGCACACTTATTTACTTTGTCAGCTATAAGCTCTACATTTATAGGTAGCAAATGTCTAAGAACTGCAGTAGATACATGACCAAACCTTTGATGCCACAATTCAATATCTTCTGACTGAACTATTTCACCTTCAACATTCTTCTTTTTAACTGCCAAAGAGACATTTGAGCAACTTCCAGGTGTTTGATCATCAAGTATGTAAAGACCATTATCTTCCTTACCAATCTCCTTCACCTTCCCATTGAAGAGTTCCTGAAAAATGAAGAAGTGAGGAAAGAAGGTAGCCGAACACCTTAGCTCTTTGGTCAATTTAGAAACTGATAACAAATTGAACTTGAATTGAGGCAGATGAAACACATTAGTAATGATATTTTTGTTAGGTAATTTGCTGGCTCCTATATGTGTCACACATGAAATGTCACCATTAGGCATATAGACTTTCTTTGGAATTTCAGGTTGAATCACAAATGAATTTTCTAACAGTTTTAGGTCAGCGACCATATGATTTGTAGCTCCTGTATCAACTATCCATTCTTTCTTACTATCCTCTGAAGCTAGTAAAGTTGTACTTGTACTTGTACCTGCTACATTTGCTGCAGATGATGATGTATTGTTTCTAACTGGTGCAGGATTTTTGTTGAGTAACTGCAGAATCTGATCATACTGTTCTTTTGTAAATGGAGACACTCCAAGTTGAGATAGCTGAGTCATTATATTCTCCTGTCCGTGTCCTGCAGTTTGGTTTACTCCAATTGTATTTGGATTGCCCGCAGTCATATTGTTTGTCAGTATACCATTCTGTGGAACACCTTCCCCAAATACATTGTAGGTTGCACCATTTCCTGCTCCCCCTCTCTTTTTCGACTTAAAATCAGGAGGATATCCACTATCTTGTAACAATTCTCTTTACTATGCCCCTTCATCTTACAAAAATCACATGAGATGTTGTAATTTTTCTTAAACCTTTGGTTACCCACAACAGTTCTAGTATATAATGCAACATCATAATTTCCTGTAACCACACTAGGATTAGCTCCTAACACCCTTGATGTAGCTGCTATAGCCTTTTGACTTTCATCACTTACTATCATAACATATGCTTGATTCACATTTGGTACAGGACTTCTCATAAGTATCTGGCTTCTAGCTTGTGCATAAGAATCGTTTAGTCCCATTAGAAATTGGTATAACTTCAATTTTTGCAGATAGATCACAAATTCCCTTGATTTTGCACAATCACAACTTGGGGCAGGAACCAATGACTCAAATTCTTTCCACAAATCATTCAGTCGTGAATAATAGACTGATACAGATGATGTTCCTTGGGTCAAGGTTGCAATTTCTTTATGCAGGTTGAAGATTCTTGACCCATCAACCTTGTTAAATCTTTCAGCCAGGTCTTCCCAGACTGCTTGTGCACTTGACGCATACATTATCCCCCCAAGCAGACCTTTAGCTACAGAATTCATAATCCAAGAAAGGACTATTGCATTAACTCTTTCCCAGTGATTCCACATGAATTCAGGAAATGATTCTTTCTTGCATGTACCATCTACCATCCCCAATTTGTTTCTACCCAATAAAGCTACACGCATAGATCTAAACCAGATAGAGTAATTTTCAATACCTGTCAACTGGAACGAAATGATTTGTATGCCACTAACATCAGCTGGAGAAGAAACAGAGGATGGTTGTAATCGATTCCTGCATTTCCTGGGTTTGGAACTCCAATACCCAGATTTTGTCGATCTCCTGTAGTTGTACCATCTGAAGGTTGTTCTCCGATTGAACTCATTTCAGTTCAAGAAAAGCCCAAGAATTTCAGAATTTCAAGATTAGCAACATGCAATTTTAACAAACACTAAATGCCAATTCTTCGACTAGAATATCTAGCGAGATGGCTCTGATACCATGAGATAATTTGAAAGAAGATGAATGGGATGAAACCCAGTTAGAAGCAGAGGATAGAATAGCAGAGAATAGCAGAGAGAAGAAAGAAGAAAAGAGAAAGAAAAGAGCGTATGTCTATTATTTTCATTACTTCTTTTTATCACCTCTTTATATATGTATATGTAAAGTATTTAACACTAACTAATTTAGCTTAGTGTATAAGTAAATGACTAATGTACCCTTAGGAGAGTATCACTTAATTGTCTCAACAGATGGACTCACTCCTAAGACAAACAGTTGGATAATTATTACCTCCATCTTCAGGCAAATCAGAGGTCCACAGTGTGAGGTTGTCTCTTAACAGCTGCATGATTAAGGTACTGTCCTTGTATGACTCTTCACTTAAAGTGTCCAATTCTGCTATTGCCTCATCAAAAGCTTGTTTAGCCAAGTGACATGCCCTGGAAATTTGAATTTCGTCAATCCACATCATCAAGAGGACAAGAAAATCACAAGAAACATATTCTAGAGGTATTCGTATATTGGTCATGAATTGTACCTTTCAGGTGAGTTCATGATCTCATAGTAGAATACGGAGAAGTTCAATGCAAGACCAAGCCTGATCGGATGTGTTGAAGGCAGATCAGAGTTTGCAGTGGCCGTAGCAGCCTGAAAAAAAAAATCAGTGCAACTCTCAAATATAACTCACTTTAATGTGCACCAATTGATCATATTAAAGGATGTAGGTTATATATACTGACAACATAGGAAGTGTAAATAACATTATAGTACCTTAGTTCATTAATGTTATCACAGAGAGTTTCCTACAATTACCTTACCAGTTACATAATTTTGATGTTAAAACCAATTGAAATAACTTGCCTCATAGCCCTTCAATGACTGCTCAGCAGCCTCATTCCTTTCCTCATCAGTCTTGAACTCAGCAAGGTAACGATAATAATCACCTTTCCTGAACCAGACATAGAAAAGAGGGATTGTAACAGTCTTGATGAACCTCAGAACCGAATCAAAAGACTGTATGAATTATTTTGATTAAAACAGTTAGAGAGGGTTTTATACATTTGCCTTACATTTTGTAATAAAAGACAGTAGCTTCTCCAGTGCCAGAAGATGGAATTAGATGTTTGTCTATGATTTCTAGAATATCATGACAAATCTTGGACAGCTCCTCTTCTACCTTCTGCCTATATCCCTTAATTAACTTCACATTGTTCTCGTTTCCTTTCGACTCTTCTTTCTGCTCAATGGAGGACATAATACGCCAAGAAGCCCTTCGAGCTCCAATAACATTCTTGTAACCAACAGAAAGTAAGTTTCTTTCCTCCACTGTCAGTTCAGCATCGAGTTTTGCAACTTCCTTCATACTCTCAACCATTTCTGAGAAGCAATATGAATCTCAAGTTACCAAACAGAACAATGGTGCAAAGACTTTTATATCTCATTCCAGTTGATGATATGAAAGTCACAATTCTGGTTTTGCATTCTCACCAACCCAGTCTACCAAGGCTAGAGGAGAATCCATGATCTCGAGTAAGTGGGTTTAGAATGAATATGATCGATATGTAAGCATTTAAAACTTTTTTGCATGCATGTACATAGTTTGGGTTGGAAGCAACGAGTTCAGTTGAACCCACAAAACCTGTCCTAGATTCTTATCTGACATAGGCAACTTACATGCCCTTCAACCCCAACAAAAGAACCAATCTGCAGATAAGAATTTCGGTATAGAGTAATTAATGAACTAAGATCAAAACTGTATACATGATGGATGTTATCATTTAATAAATAAATCAAGGAAAAATTAATGATATTGTACATGAACATATACATAAATTAAATTTCTCAAAATATTATATGCATAAGTAATTCCAATACAACTGCATGTTGATAAATCTATTATGGATCGCACACACAAAAGCGTGGATGAATTCTTGATGCAGGTATAGAGAAAATGAAATGCTTAAATAAAGGATTAGTCAGGCCAGAGGATTTGAATATCAAAATGCTTAAATTAAAAAAATAAAAATAAAAAAGGAAGAGAAAAGATATGCAAAGAAATGAAATTAACCATCATAACGTTCAGCTTGTTCCGCGAGCTTGGCCGTGTAGACATGAGTTTCTCTTTCCTTTTCTTTCGACATGTTTTTTCAAGCAATAAAAATGTTGATGCTGTTGTCGTTAATTGCGAACGCCAATAAAGATAACTGTTCCAATCACAATTCTTCTTCGTAACACAGGGAGAATGGATAATAATTGAGGAGAGACAGTTACAGCGTGGAGAGAGTATTGGCAACAAGATTATATCTCTACCGTTCGATTGATTAATACTAGTATTGGTGAAGCGCCAAATTCGGGATTTAACAGACACTTTACTCACGTAGGCAACGGATCACATATGCATTCAATCTTCTCTGTCGGACTGCTTGCTGCCCCGCTTATTAAGTCCGCTATATGAATTTTCGCTTCAATGCAACTTTTTTATTTATTTCTTTTTTTAATTTTATCTTTTTTCGTCTCTCAAAGTTGAGGTTAACGTTAATTAATTCTTTCCGACTATCATTTTGCATGGAGTCTCCTTTGTGTTTAATTCATAGAACATCACTCCCATCATCCCATTTTCAATTCTCATGGAACACTCAAAACTACTACTAATAATTAGAAGTAAATTTTACATAGTAGTAAACTCCTCGCATTGGAAAAGGTCAAGAAGATTCGGGATCGACTTCACACAGCTCAATCTAGGCAGAAGAGTTATGCCGACCGGAGAGTTCGTGATATTGCATTCATGGTTGGAGAGAGGATATTGCTCCGGATTTCACCCGTAAAGGGTTTGATGAGATTCGAAAAGAAGGGCAAGTTGAGCCTTACATATATCGTACCTTTTGAGATTCTTGATAGATTGGGTGAGGTGGCCTACGGGCTGGCATTGTCACCTAGTTTATAAGTTGTTCATCCGGTGTTCCATGTGTCCATGCTACAGAAGTATCATGGTGATCCGTCCCATGTGTTAAATTTCAGCTCAGTCCAGTTAGACAAGGATTTGACTTATGCGGAGGAGTCGGTGGCCATTCAGCCCGGCAAGTCCGGAAGTTGAGGTCTAATAGTTATCCTTCAGTTCGAATGTCGTGGAGAGGTCAGTCGGTCAAGGCAGCCACGTGGGAGTCCGAGTCCGACATGCGGAATAGATATCCATACCTTTTCACCAGTCCAGGTACCTCTCTATGTCAGTTCAAGGATGAACGTTTGTTTTAGAGGTGGAGAATATGATGACTCGATAGGTCATTTGTGACGACCTGGTCGGTCGTCTTAAGAATTAACGCCCCAATCCCCTATTATTTGCTTTCCCCGAGTTTATTTCTGCTATTTTGATTTGCTGGGATGTTCGGTTTTAAGTTTCGGAGGGTTTTGAGACACTTAGTCCCTAAACGAGAGCTTAAGTGTTGGAAAGTTGACCGTAGTCGGAACAGTATGAAGACAGCCTCGGAATGGAAATCTGATGGTTCTGTTAGCTCCGTTGGGTGATTTAGGGATTAGGAGCGTGTTCGGATTGTGTTTTGGAGGTCCGTAGCTAATTTAGGCTTGAAATGCCGAAAGTTGAATTTTTGAAGTTTCCGGCCCGATAGTGAGATTCTTATCCAAGGGTCGTAATGGAATTCTGAGAGTTGCAGTAGTTCCGTTGTGTCATTTGGGATGTGTGTGCAAAATTTCAGGTCATTAGAACGTGGTTTGGTTGGGTTTTTGATCAAAAGCGGAATTCGGAAGATTTTAGAAACTTAGGCTTGAATCCGATGTATTTTGGTTGTTTTGATGTTGTTTGAGGTGTTTTGAAGATTGGTATAAGTTTGAATAAGGTTTTAGGATATTTTGATGCCTTTGGTTGAGGTCCCGGGGGCCTCGGGGTGATTTCGGATGGTTAATGAGAAAATTTAGAAAATGTTGCAGCTGTTGTATTTTTGCCGCTTCTGGTATTTTTGCATTTGCAGTTTGGGGACTGCAGATGCGGCGCCGCAGAAGCGGCTAAGGGACCGCAGAAGCAGATTTTGGCTTTTCCTTCAGGTTCCGCAGATGCGGAAGGGACACCGCAAAAGCGGTGTCACATCTACGAAA